TTCCTGCTGGAAGATCAGGGCTAGGACGCTGGCTCTGAGGCAGGGGCAGGATAGGCGGATACTCTCAGTCTTAAACCAGGGAGCTGTCCAAATTACAGGGCTGTGTGGGATGTGGGAAGGAGGGGTGCCACCAGGAAGTGGATGGAAGGACTTCCCGGGCTGGAGGGGTCCTGATGGTGGATGGTGCTGAGGTCTGAAGGTTACTGAGGTGCCTGAGGAAGAATGGCTCTGGGTGGCTTATCTTCTGCTGTGTAACAAGTTATTCCAGGACAAAGAGTTACTATGGCAGTTTCTGGGGGACAGGAATCTGGAAGCAGAATGGTGGAGGACTCTGGCTCTGGGTGTCATGAGGTTGCTTGAAGTCCAGAAGACGGTTGGGGCGCCATCCTCCCAAGTCTCTACGGGGTTGGAGGTCCACTTCCAAAATGGCACCCTTGCATGGCTAATGGCAGGATGCTTGCGCGCCTAGCCAAGTGGACCCATTCACAGAGCAGCTTATGATGGGGCAGGAGATCTCCCTCAAAGCAAATACCAAGAAGGGGAGAAGGAGGCAAAGGACGAGAATGAGGGAAGAGACAGCGAGAAAGGGAGCGGTAGAGAAAGACGAGGAGAAGGAGAAAGAGGGAGATAAAGACAGAGAGGAAGAAAGAAAAAGGAGGGAGAGAGGGAGAGAGAAAGAAAGAGAGAGGGAGAAACAGAGACAGGGAGAGAATAGGAGGGGAGATAAAGAGAGACAGAGATAGGGAGAGAAAGAGGAGAGGGACAGGGGGAGGGAGAGAGAGAGAGAGAGAGAGAGAGAGAGAGAGAGAGAGAGAGAGAGAGAGAGGAAAAGAGTGATAAAGGGAGAGAGAGGAGACAGACAGACCACCGAGGAAGAGTCAGAGTGCTCCGTAACCTAACCTGGAGCCAGGGAGAGAGCCATGGCTTCTGCTGCCTCCCTCCGTTGCTCATACAGACCCACCCTGTGACACTCAGTAGGACAAGGACACCAGTGCCAGGAGGGCAGATCACTGGGCCATTTTGAAGACTGGCTACCACAAGCTCCAGAAAAAATAAACACATAGATGGCCTGATGTTCTCAGCACCAAAGAGATTCATGTTCCATTTATTCCATGGCAGAGTTTGGGGATAAATAAGTAATGGGCACATAGAACACCCCCCACCCAAATGAGGCAATTATTCAGTCCAGGAAACACAAGAGATTGTACTGAGGTGTAATTACAACATGTTCCTCAGCAGTGACCAGTGTATGCAAAGAAACACCTTTTTTTTTTTTCAGTTGTAGATGGGCACAATAGCTTTATTATGTTTATCTAGTTTTTTTATGTCGTGCTGGGAATCCAACCTAGTGCCTCATGCACACTAGGCTAGGCAAGCACTCTACCACCAAACCACAACCCCAGTCTGCAAAGAAACATCTTTTTTTTTTTTT